GGGTTCTGCCTTTAACAACAGCAAAACTAAATCAACACATCCGTTCACAAACTCTCGCAAAACTTGTGCAGTGTAATCCAAATTTATTTATCCAGTCCTATGCTCAGTACTTCCCAAACAAATGCTTTTTCACTGAAACCTTCATAGTTAAAACTGAACTGAAAGTGAACTTTGTCTATGGTCTCAAACTCCATTGTTAAAAACATGATTTTACCTCAATGAACACAGGAGCTGCTTGTTGTTTGTGTTATTGAGTGACTTTGGTGTTTTAAAGGGTTAGTTCAGATTCGGCAAAGTCACACAATAAACAAACAAAGTAATGATCAAGGCAGTGTTAGATCAGCAGCTCCTGTTATCAGCGAGGTAAAATATCTGTTTTTGTCAATGAAGTCTGGCTTTTACGAGAGCACAGATAAGTTCAGTTCCACGTTGGAAAGAGCTTTCTGTTTGGTAAGTACTGAGCATACGACTGGATAAATTAGACTCAAATTATACTGCACAAGTTATGTGAGAGTCTGTATGCAGATGTTTTAATAAAGCTTTGCTGTTGTTGAACGTGGACCCATTTAACTTCAATTCATCAAGACTTTTCTTGGTTTTTGGATTCTTCATTCACTGGAGGCATGGAAGAAAAATGTTTTCTTAAAGAATTCGATAACACAGAATGAGTAATTGATATACAAATGATCATTTAGGGGGGTGAAGTATTTCTTAAACCCCCAGAGAGGAAATTAGTTGGGTCGCGCACAGTGACAAATAAAAAGAGACACAAGCAGACAACAGATGAAAGCCAAAATAGTGGTAATACTAACACACAATCTAGTAATAAAAAGTACGCCTTAAGTGATGTAGCCGAAAATAGGACCACTAAATCCGGCAATAAATATGAAATGAGACATAAAAAACAATATATATGAGACAAAACATTACAAATGATGTCAAAAACACCATCCTTTCTTTAAAAAAGTTAGTATTGTGTGATTATACTGCTGTGGGCAGAAAAGACCGTTTAGCATCACTGTTTAACTTTGTTTTATTCATTTTGCACAGAGGATCAGCAGCGGCAGACTGGCACAGAGGCCTTGCTGCACACTGTTGTGCTGCGACTGGGAGCCTTACTGGTGCTCATGCTGACTGTGGGTGACTGGTCTGATGTCCTCCATGTCCTCATCACCTTCCTGGGTGAAGCAGTCTGCCTGCTGCCCTCTCAGGACCTGCTGAAAGCTGCATTAAAGGTCTGTGTGGATCACCTCTTCCACTTACACTGATTTTGTTATTTTACGGTTCCCTTTTTTGCATTTAAGCTGTGATTTATACAACATGACCATTTCTGTTTGCTTTACTATTTACCTGTTACTTGTTGGTTATACTGAGGCAGGTGAAAATGACAGGTGACATTTCATTGCCATGCTTCGTTTATTTTTTAGGAAGAAGAAGAGACAAGCCTGAGAAAATATGAACAGAGCTCCGGTCCCAAAACGAGGAAACTCACAATGAACATATCATCAGATGAGAGCTGACAGTGAACCCGAAATCTACCTCAAATACCAAAGACTACCTTGAATGTCAACATGTGCTACTACTTGTTAATAATAAAACAATGAAAGGACTATTATGGCTACATTTGATGGTACATATTGTGTATTTACTGTTTCTGAGTCTTAAACAGAAGAAAAGAATGAGGAGCTGCTGGTTTCTCTCCCAGCTGACTGAAAGATTGGAGGTTCAGTAAATGTTATTGTTGCTGGCAATAACACCACCAAGCCCAAGTTATATAATAGAGTCATAGAGTGGAATAGAGATAAGCAATAAGCTGATGAAAGGTACACAGTGTAAACAGGTCAGACTTCCACCAGCAGAGGACGAAGACATGTCAGAAAATGTCTTAATTATGGTCAGGGATGAAAAGTATTTAATTACAAGTACTTGTTTCTGTGATTAAGAAGCTTTTTAATGCACTCTTTGCGCATTAATTCTACAGTAGCTGAAGCAGATCAGATCTACACAACAACCACACATCTTTGGAGAGGAATACTTTTGAGAAGCACTTCATTCATGAATAATACTTGAAAAGTACTGATGACAGTGACAATAAAAGACTAATTAAAGGGGCACTCCACCAATATTATACACGCAGATCAGTTCACTCGTCATGAGGAGTAGTCAGCCTGTGACAGTACTTATGAACGATGTACACTTATAAATTATACAATCCTTTGACTTTGGAGGAAGCTTTGTGAAGTTGTAATTGATGATGTCACTAAGGTTATCTAAGCTTGAGATTGAGACGCAATTTTCTTCTAACAGTCAGTCTGCACTACAAACTGGAGGTGTGGAGTTTAAAAAAATGTAAGAACATGTAGGAGACTGCGGGGTCCGATGAAAGACACTATTCAGTTGCACTGTGGGAAATGTAGGATCTCACTTTTTTGGCGCTAGACCCTTACGAGGGGCTTAAAGCCAGAATATCTCAGCTGCTGTCTCTCACACTCCCTCAACTTTATTTGCTTACAATTAAGCAAACTGATTAACAGTCTAATGCAGTGGCTCCCAACTGGTCTAGCCACCAGTTTGCTGTCTCTGTCAAGTAGCTGTCCATTAGTCACTCACACTACAGAGGAAAACAGAACTAAAAGCTCTGTGTTAGAAATTCACTGGATTTCAAAATACAGATTGTTTTTTTTTTTATAAACTTCACACTTCCCTGAGTCACTTGTGGTCCATTCAAAATTGACCCATCACCCACTTTTGGACCACGACCCACCAGTTGGGAAACACTGGTCTGATGTTCCTCCTACTTGCAGCCCAGTCCCCAGAATAAAATGTTGTCACTGTTCATTTCTGCAAGACATTTGCATTTGTACTTTTTATACGTATGATATAGATCAGATTACATAAACTGAATTTCTCATCAGGAGGAGGAGCAGATGGTGGATGGCAACCGATGTTCAAGACAAACAAACGGGAGTGTTTTTTAACAGCAGCTCAGGACACGTTCAGTGGTGTTTGTAAGCTAATGACATCAGTGGGTGTTTTCTAAAGACAGTTCAAGACATGTTAAGCCATGTTTGTTGTGACAAAAGTGAATGTTTTCAGCCCAAACATGTGTGTTTCCAACCCTAACCCCAGGCCCAAACCTTCACTAATTCATTTGCCATAATCGCAGAGCCTGTTCAGGGTCCCAGATGACATTAGGCAGGAGGTGGCTATACCTGGGACAGGTCACACAAATACTCACCTACCAGTTTACCTAACCTGCATGTCTTTGGACTGTGGAAGGAAGCTGAAGAACCCAGAGAAAACCCACACTGATACTAGGAGAACATGCAAACTTTGCACATAAGGGCCCAAACTGGCCGGTGGATTCAAACCCAGAATCCTCTTGCTGTGAGGCGACAGTGCTAACTGCTGCAGCACCATGCCACCTTTGTTACAAGTCAAAACAAAATTAAAGAGGCAACATATCCGCTATATATGAAATGTACAAATGTAGCATACGGTTTGAAAAAAAGCCAATATTTATTGTGGTGATTGAGTTGCTACTTGAGTATTTGGGTGAGTTGACCGGATTTCTCCCTGAAAAGTTGTTTGTCTGCTGCTGCAGATGTTTGCAGTCAGGAAATCAACATCAACTGTATTTGTAAACATGCAATTGTCACTGTTTTCCCTATCTTGTGTGTTTCTTCCTGTTCCTTTCCCTTCATTTCCCTTCATTCTCTTCCCCATTGTTGTCCCGCTCACCCGAGTCACTAAAAACTGAGGATTAAAGTTAGGTATTATATTGTGATGTTGGTGAGTAAATTAAAAAGTCATGCTATAGAAGCAGTGAGGAGGTTCAGAGGGTTTAATGAGGATTTTGGCTGTTGGGGAGGCGGAGCGTGAAGGTCTGAGGATTGTGTCATCAGTAGGCATGCTCCCTCCTGCAACCGTGACATCACTGCAGCATTCCTTTCCACAGAGCTGGAACAACAGAGACCCCCATCACTCTCCTCATCTCCGTCTCCTGTTAACCCTCTCACACACATTCATGCCTCTCACTCTTCTCCCACACTGACCCACATGGATCAGTTTTGTTCAACACTTAAGTTTCTTACTCCATCCTTTCTTTTGACTCTGTAGAGGGGAGTAGACCTCACAAGGTTTGGCTCCGGAAACTAACCACAATATTTGCTGATCAGCAGACCTGATATTGCTTCGATTCACCCTGTTGGAGAGCAGCAAACACAACAAAGCAGCTTTTTCATAGCTCACACAGACATTACTCACTGTTCTCCCCCTTCTCCCTAATACACCAATATCTCCTCTTGCACAATGCCCTGATTCATTGCACTGTAATGCTGCGGCTCCTTTACGGCTGCTTTCAACCACAAAGGCTCCATCAGGCAGGAGAGCCTGATGAAGACCACCACACATTATCGGACGTCGATGAGGCACAAATGGAGGCAATGCCATGTGACACTGATAGTGAGTCAAGGCTAAAGTGATATAATGTAGTGGGGGGAAGGGAAGAAGGAAAGAGGGAGAAGAAAAAAGGAGGCAGACTCAACGAGGGAGGTAGGGAAAATAAAGCTGACAGAACAATAAGGCAGAGCTGCACAGGAGAGAGAGAAAGAGGACAGTCTGAGATAGAGAGTTGCTGGAAAAGGCAGGTAGAGTCACATCCTGCTGGCAGGCAGAAAGATAAAGGAGTGGGAGGTGGCTGTGTGTGTCTATTTAAGGGCAAAATCCTTGTGAAATACTTTATGATACTGTATATTGCATTTGTAAAAAGCCTGACTGTGTGCTTTTGGTTAGATTGCCCAACTCTTGCATGACTTTTCATTGTGTGTCTACGTGCAAGCATGCCAGTGTGTTTATGCTGGCCAAACTCTCATAGTAGATGAATGTGTCATGTTTTTTACTGCACTTTGCCCGAGATTAACTGTTCACCTTTTACGGTTGGGAGGGAGGTGGTATTGTCATTCAGCCAGAGAAGGAGGAGGGGTCGGCGGACGAGAGAGTCGAGGAGGGAGGTTCAGAAGGAAAAGGAGTGGCCTTCTGCTGATAGTCGCCCTCTCTGCCGGAGTAAAGTCTTCTCTCAGTGGCAGCTTACAGGAGGGAAAACAAACCAGAAGTTTTGAGATACAGAGCAGGGAAGCAGAAAGAAGAAAAGACACAGCTGTCCTCAAAACCGCATTCTCTCCCAGGTATGTAATGGCAGCTCACAGCCAGAGTGAGTGGGTTTAAAGGAAACAGATGATTTAGATTTGAGCTTTCTGCCTCTGAAACCATTCATTATGGGTTATGAGACTGAGAGTGTGTGTGAGTTTACCTCTGTGAAGTGAGAGTGAGCACTCCCACAAAGTTGACTGAGAGGGTGTGTACATGTAGATTCAATAGTGTTGAGATGCTAGAGATAACATGTCATGTTCACTGCTAAAGGGTTGATTAAAAAGATGTGTTGAGTCTTTCTGTAGGACCATAAAACATTAACTATTGTAAGCTAGATGTTAGATGTAGATAGTAATTCTTCTGTCCTCCTGTTAGGCTGTATGTGGGTTTTGTACAGTCATGGCATCAGCAGCTCCACCAAAAAGGATGGTGTCCTCTGTCTTCATCACTCTGGCATCTCCTCACCGAGCCACTGTGACACCGCAGCAGCCCGTCCTCCAGGCTCACAGCGCCCCGGCTAAAGACAAGCAGCACACTGCTGTACGAGTCAGCCCCAGTGACAACATCCCCACCGTCAGACATAAGAAAGAGGACCACTCACAGTCTAAGCCCTCTGGCAGTGCGGACAGCACAGGCCGGACTCGTACAGGTGTCTCCGCCCGAGCTTCAGACCCTCAGAGTCCAAAACCTGCCCCACCTGGAGCCAGCAGAGGAAAGCTGCAAGAAGAGGGCATGCATGCTGAAGGTATTCATGTCAAGATTTACTTTTCATCTTGAATTAAGTGCAAACTAGACAAAACTTAGATTACCTGAGACATATTCACCCACATGTAACTAATGCAGTAAGGGTCTGGCTGACCTGTATTATAGGTTTTGGTCGTGTTCTTCCATAGCTGGTAATACTAATTACAGCAACGATATGGTAAGTTTCTGCTCGTTTTGGGCTCCTCCCAAGATACAAATTAGATTTTATTGCTCTCCTGACCTTTACTGCAACACGTTTGATACTGTCTAAGGGGGAACTCCACCAATTTTACACATCAAAGTGTGTTTATAGGTCTGTGGGAGAACTACTGCTTACTGCTGCTAAATTGCCTTAGTTGATGTCACCTGAGGCAACATCGGGGATGAAGACAAAAATCCACTAAAAGCTCAGACAAACTTGACAAACTTGATTTCATTTTTAGTACATCTGATGGTCCATGTTGGCCCCCAGCAGTGAACGGGAGAGCTGGGAGGTGAGCTTACAGTCTACAGTCAACATTGGGTGAAAGTTAAACCAAACAATGCTGTTGGGTCTGGAGTGAATGTCCATCAAATATCCATACTGCTTGACTGCAGTGTTTTGGATTGGACTGGAGTTTAGAACAAGAAATTGGAGCATGTGCAGTCACAGTGTGCTTGCTATGCCTACAGTCTGCACGGTCACAAAAAACAGGTTGCACGCGGACATCTACATAAAGGTCTGTCTCATGGACCCGGGTGGTTGAGAAGATTTACATCACACTGACCAAAGTAAACTATAAATGGGAACCTATAAATTGGCCTTTAGAAATAAATGAGCTTACCAGAGCTCTGCAGCCTGCTCCTCTTCGCTGCTTGAGGCTAGCAACTCAAGGCAACATTAGCCTATACCAGGATAACACACCTGAGTGGCCACATTGAATTGTGGGTAATGTAGGCACCAGGTTTTGACAAGGAAGAAGAAAGTGTGAGAAAAAAGTTGATATGTACGGTTCTGCTGCCTTAACTTGTATATATTTTGTATATATTTTTTAAACTGTCAATTGTATGTTCGACAGTGTTATGTGAGTGAAATGCCAAACTGGTGTATGACTCTTTTAACTGCAAAAAGCTCCTAACCCTCCTCTCACACTCACTGGGTTCAGGATGTACATGACAGCACTGGAAACAATTAAGTATTATCTCTGAGGAACAGCTGCTAAATTTGACCATATAAGGCTTCCTCTTTTGGGAACATGCTGAAAACTTGTCACTTTATTTTACAGTGGACATTCTCATTAAGATTCAAAATCTCTTTTAAAAGGGAGTCCTGACCAAGACTGTAGCATAAAGAATTTTACATAAAAGACCAAACAGACTAAAAACATAACAGCAAAATGTTAAAACAAAGAGCATAAAAATTTTACACACAAGAAACAAGCAACAGAACAAACAGACAAGTTACAGCAGAGAGTTGAATTTTGCAATCGGTGGTCAAATAGTCTGTTTCTAAAATCTTCCATGTTGATGATATTATGTAGTGAGTAAGGTGAGTCAGCAGCTGACATCAAGATGAGGAAGATAATGTGGAGAAAAACACATGCATTAAACACATAACCTCACAAGCTTCTATTCCTCCACCTATTTTATTTTTCATTATTTTACTATTTTCATTTTATTCTTTTTTCTCTTTTTTCAGTTGTTTTTCTACTTTATAGTTTTTTCATTATTAGAGGTGTCAGTGTTTGTATGTGCATGTATATATACGGAATATATTTTTGTATATTTTGTTGGGTTTCATATTAATCTCATCCTGAATTTCAGTGCTCACTGGAAACTCAAAGTGTTTTTCTTGCCCAACAGAGCTCTTCCCTCTTCCTCCTCCTCCTCCTCCTGCTGTTGCATTGCTTTCATCTCCTGGAACATCGCTCTCTGAAGAATCAGCTCTTCCACCACCTCCTCCTGCCCAGACGCCTCTCTCACACCCTCTGACCCCAGGCCAGCAGCCAGTTTACAACACAGAGGTATGTAAACACATGTCACATTTGCATTGCCCAATTCCTTATGTCTATGGCAGTCATTTACTGTTTTAAACACTCGATCCCAGTTTCCCTCAGTACATTTCGCTCGAAGCAGACAAGTCATTTTTCCCACAGTGGAGGATTACAGCTTTCCACAACTTTTACAGATGCAGTATTATGTTGTGCAGCTGTCGTAAAGAATTATCTGCAAAACACATTATGAAGGACAAAACATCTGTCTTGTAGATATGGCTGAATGATCAAAAACACTTTATGAACTGTGAACATTTTTCCCTCACAAACACGGCACTTTCCAAACTGTAGATATCTTTATAAGAAATGTTTAGTTCCCGTCATCAGAGCTTCATCTCTGTGTAGAAACAATGAAGGAAAGCTGAGTTACAGCAGGAGGTCTTTCCTCTCTTCACAACTACCTATGTGTGTCTACAGTATGTGCATATAGCAATTGAAATACATATCATGTTTTAAATCAAAATCAAGCATTTGCTAAAGTGTGTGATTCACCTCATGAGGCAAAACTCATCAGCTGTCTCAGTTCAGCGTTTAGTTTTACATTAACAACGTGCTTTATGTTTAAGGTGGAAACAAGCACACCATCTAGTGGGTTGAAACAGGATGAACAATCCCATGGGATCCATAATAACGGCCAAGACACGAGCGGGGAGAGTCGAGGTAACATGATCTCTATTTACACATTCACTGCTCAGGTTTTACACTGTTCCGCCCTGACAGTACACGTATTATTATAACCCTCTCTGACATTTGATGTTTGTGTACAATGCAGAGGTGTGTGGCTTCTGTCGGAAACCCGTGGCTCTCTCTGAACCTGCAATAGAGGCTTTAAACAGGACGTACCATGATGGTTGTTTCCAGTGTAGGTCTTGTCACATTCCCCTGGCTGGTAAACAGTACTACAACAAGGCAGGAATCCCCCTCTGTGAGGACTGCTACCAGGTAGGTCAAAGTCAACACAGCCTCCATTGTAGGATGTTATTAAGCTGCAAATACATGCAAATCTTTCTACAGGACCATACCAAGCCCAGCTGCCAGAGCAAAATGATAGTATTATACATTTATGCAAACTACTGACATGTTACATTTGTACGTTTCATATGAATGACAGTTCAGATTACATGAGCTTCTCATCAGGGGGAAAACAGGATGGTGAATGGTATGACAACTGGCATGTCAGCAGCAGACCACTGTTTGAGACTAACAAAAATGGATGTTTTTTCCCCCTCTTCTTTTTACAAGATTTTTCAAATAAAGCACATACATAAAACCAACCAACATAAACAACACCTAAACATAAAGACTGATAAGACAGAAGAGTATAGAAGAGAATATCTTTGCAAAAAAAAAAACACCTCAAAAGAACAAATGCTGTAGTATATTGCAACTAAGAATGAATAGGCTATTAAGTTTTAAAAAAAGAGATTGTACAGCAAAGTGGTATTGACATCAACAGATGGAGCAATCAGTTACTGCCCTCCGGGGATAAGCAAGTCAGAGTTTCTGGAGGAAAAAGTGTAATGGTTCCCAAAGTTGCCAGAACTTGAGATCATAAGTCAATTTCGCAGAGGAAGCACAGCTGATATCTATGATAACCACAACTGTGGGGACCTGTGAAGCAGACCATCCCAGCAAGAGGCACTTTTTAGCCAAGTATAAAAGATTTGTTAACAAAAATTTGACATCCTTACCAAAGAAACTGTCTGAAATATGATGTAACAAGTAGAAAGACAAGAGTTTGGTACATATCCAGCCATGTTTGTAGCAACCTAACTGGGTATTTTACGCCAAAACATGGTGATCTCCTAACCAAGTGTTTTTTTGTGCCTAAACACACATTAACTACAGCGCTGTCACAACACAAAATTAAAAATTGAAAAGTAAAGAAACATGAAGTTTCAACATATCCACTACAAATGAAAAGTCTTAGGGCTGCTTTGAAACCGCACCTACTTACGGCAACAAAAAAAAGTTTGTCTTGGGTGCGTCAGTATGATAGACAAATAAAAAAGGACAGCAGAGGAGATACTTGCACACCAGTGCAACTGGGCTGGACAGCCACAAAACGGTCCACAGGCTGAGATCAATGCAAGAAATAGTCAGTTTATTTAGGACCACGTGCACAAAAAGAAGGGTGCGCGAAGTGCAAAAAAATACTAAAAAGGGAATAAAAACAGCAGCAAATGTTTCAGTCCTTGACTATCATCAGTGCTACTGACATGAGTGCTTCACAGAACAGATATAGACACAGACCTGGTGGGAATCTGTCTATGTCTTTATTACTTGTGCACGGATGTCCGAAATAAAGTGACTCTTTTTTTGTATTGATCTCAAACTTACAAATGAAACATATAGTGGTTTGCAGAAACATGTAATGCCAACATTTAATCTAGCGACTGGGTTGCCATAACAATGTTTTTGTATGCTCATTTACTTGAAATCACTTATGCTACATTAATGCTGTTTTCCAAAGACATAATTGTGTTAAATTTTTTAAATGTGGTTTTCTTATACCTTCAAGGTAGCCACTGGCTTCCCTTACAGCGTAAAAACAATCACCCTGCACAGACTTGGAATAAAAGGTGTATAGCAAATGTCATCACTGAACCAACTTTCAGGTCTCTGCAAGTTGATTTTCATTCTTTGCAGAAACTAATAGAGGACAATCAAGGCTGCAGCCATGAAGTCAACACTGGGAGGGACTGCAACTCATTTACTGCTACATTATTAATCATAAGCAAATGCAGCTATACAGTATGCCATATGACCACTGTCTACATAAGTTACACATGCAGTGCAACATAAATAATTGTCCATGAATACAAAGGAGTAGAAGCACTGCTGGATCTTAGTAGTAGTCACATACAGGTGCTCTTTGGATACTCCAGGCGTTATACTGTGTTCATTCCATCTTGTGAAGGGCTCACTGCATCGTAAAGTATACTCAGTCAAAAAAAATATAAAATGCAAGTCTTCTTCAAAAATGACCCAAGGCACACTATGGGGTTTATGCAAAAATTAAAACGCCTTTATTTTACGTGGCAATATAGATTAAAAAGACCAATTGTCTGCTGTCACTTACACACCTGCGTTGTGTTACACTAAATGAGTTAAGTAAGAGGATGCCCCTTTACTTAAACTTCACATGGGCTATCTGACAAACATTGATTGAATACGCCTGTAAGCCATGTTTTACTGGGGTACGGCAACACCACTTGGACAAACCACATGAAGAACTGCAGTACACCATAATACTCCTAATTACTACTTTGAAGCCAATGGGTGCTTGGAAAGTGGGAAAACCACGATTCAAAAATATAAACACATGTTGTGGAAAATGTCCAGCAATGACACACATAAGGTAGCCTATATGTGGTTTGTAGCACTAAATGAGTTAAACAGTGGAAAATGTTTGTATCGTCACCATTAATTCTGTGTCTTAGGCCAGTCTGGAGCTTTGCTGGGCATGTGGGGAGGCCATCACAGATCATGTGATCCGAGCACTGGAGCGAGCGTACCACCTTACTTGTTTCACCTGTGCAACATGTAAACAGCAAATTGGAGAGCTGCCTTTTGCTCAGGGAGAAGTTGGAGAGGTGTACTGCCTCCAGGACTATTACAGGTAGGAGATTTACAAATGATGGCAAGCATCGCAAGAAAAACACCAAAGAGGTTTTGTGTGAAAGGCTCGAGATAATACGTCCACAAAATGCTTTTAAAGTTGCTCTGATACATTACATAACTTGACTCTGTTTAAAAGTTGCCTTGTCTTGTCTAACATTTTCTTCCTTTTTAAATGTCGTCCATAAAGGAAGTATGCTCCGAATTGTCACGCCTGCAACCAGCTAATTATCCCAAAAGAGGATGGTACTGACAGCTATAATGTTAAATGCCTGGGACGCTCCTACCATGAGAACTGCTACAGATGTGAGGTGAGCTATCTGCAAGCAAACAGTGAGTACTGTAAAAACACACTGACAAGTACGCAAACACACATTACTGATAAGTCTTTCTCATTATCTGCAGGTCTGCGTCATCCAGCTCTCTCCTGAACCAAATGACCACGGCTGCTATCCTTTGGATGGTAGGTTGCTTTGCAAATCCTGCCATCTGAACCTGGTCTCTGCCCAGCACTAACACCGGCCTCACAGCCCGGGATACACTGCAGCTGATGGAAAAGTGCCACGAGTCCAGGTTCAAAGTCGTGGAAGACTCAAACGTCACACACCTTTTTTCCAGCAGAAAAATAATGAAATATGGCTTTTTTTAAAAAAGATTTTTTACAATATATCATGCTCTCTGAGGATCCTCCTTTTCTTCTTTTATACTTGATCATTTTGCACTCCATAAACTACAAAATGCACCAAATATATTTATGCAACAGCCTTTGCGAAAACGTACGGCAAGCATTATTAAGAACTTTGTAAATCTCAGTCAGTGTACTGTTTCTCAACTGCATTACCACTTTATATAAAAAAAACTATCTAGAAAAAACAAACTTTATATAAAAGTAACCTAATATATTTTATCTTGAGGCAGGCTCCAACATAACATTTGTTAAATTACACACACACGATCAACAAGTATTGACAAGTGGAAAAAAAGATGACAGTTTCACTCACAGTAGTGTAATTGATTTAAAAAACAGAACACAGACGTTAGAGCTTATATGAAATAAAGTGTAACAGAGCATAATGGAGCATCCTAAAGCACCAAAATTTTGATTACATCCACTGTTTTTAAAGGTCCACTGTGTAGGATTTAGCGGCATCTAGTGGTGAGGTTGCAGAACTGAAACTTTTCTGGTGTGCCAGGCGTGTAAGGGAACTACTGTGGCCAACGCAAAAACTGGAATGGCCTTATCTAGAGCCAGTGTTTGATTTGTCCATTCTGGGCTACTGTAGAAACAACATGGTGGAATTTGTGGAAGAGGACTCACTCCACATGTAGATATAAACGGCTCATTCTAAGGAAACAAAAACACAACGTTTTGTATTTTCAGGTGATTATAAACTAATGAAAACATAGTTAGAAATATGATAAATCATTTGTGCTAAAAGATACCCCTAAATCCTTCACACTGAACCTTTAACTCATAAAGATCTTCACTGGACTACAGGGCCTTATATTTGTCTTTTTTTTTTGCCTCAACACTAGATCTATTCACATTGATTTGACATTACAATCTTAAAATCTCATTCAGATCCCAGTCAAGTTATTGCATTATTTATATTGTGTATCTCAAATGACATGTCTTTGTAATTATATTTCTTTGTATTGAAAACATTTTTTACAATATTTTCTGGAAAACATGTTTTTGGCATTTCTGTTTTATTCACCACACTTTTATTGTACTTGGTAAATGTTGTCTTTTAAGTGAGATTTAACTTTTGTACGTGATGAAAAGTTGAATTCATACAGAATAAAATACATCTCTGCTCTTTTCATACACTTGGTGTCTTTTTCTGGTATAGCCTCACGTGGGCTGGTATAAGCTGTAGCTTATGGAGATGATGTTGTCAAAGTCTAGGTATATGGCTGTGAAACATTACTGAGTCTGTTTGCTTATATTTTATTTGTCTTCTCACCTTGTGATTATATTAATATTTACCATTAACACAGACTTGTCACTTGAGGCCACAGCGGCTGTTGATCAGCAAATCTTAGTCTCACTTCAAGTGGTCCAAGAGGGACATGCTTTATTAAAGAAAAAAAGAAAAGCTCAACAGTCTGATTCAGGCATTTAAAAAATCAATTGATTAAAGATATGAATCATTCAGTACTGCAATCAGTGCATGTGTGCAAAAAACATGCACTTATTTCCATTTTTACCTCTATATTTTTCAATAATCATTTTTTACCACTTCAGTTTTTTCAGTTATTTTTTGTTACTTGCACCCTTGATGTCACTTTCCTTAGACGATAAATGGCAATTTTGTGTTGTGAGTGATGAATGTAAGATGGGAGAAAACTGATGAAACATGGCTCTGTTTTAACCCTATCACAACTGTTTTAATCAAATCAATTTTAATTTAGTCAAATCCCTTAATAATTCACCACTCTCTTTTTCATTTCACATCCATGTTTACCACTCTGTCTTTCAATTCACATACATTTTCTTCACTTACATTTTTATCAGTTAATACTTGTTACTTCCACCCTTAATATCAAAAACTATGTGGGTTAATTAAAGACACAGTGGGTTGATTAATCAGTTTTGATTTTCAAATCATCATTTATCAAGTTAAAATGACAAACATTTGCTAGATAACAGCTTCTTGAGTGTGACTTGCTTCTTTCTTCTAAGCCTATTACTGAATGTCTCTGGTTTTAACAATGGTAAAAAGATTGATATTTAGTCACAGCTCAAACACAAACTGCACAAACCGGGTTGTATATTATAAAACATTGGCTGGAATTGCTATCATCACATAACAATGAGTAACTGTGAGCACAGCCCTTGCCTCAAGGTTTAAACTAGGCTACTTTACATAAATTCAGTTTTCATATTCAAAATTCATCCCCAGGGGGAAATTGTGGTTTGTTACAGTTGCTCTGATGTAAAGCGTAGAGAATTATATATGTATAAATAAAAAGAAATAAGAAGTATAAGTACAAAGTATGTTAAAATATAAAAAAAATATGTGCAATACGCTACAATGTTAACACTAGTATGTAAAATATTTTAAAATAAAATATTTATTATATATATGTAACAATATAAAATATGTGTCTTATGCTACAATGCAATGTATAAAACTAGAATGTAAAGTTAGAAATATAAAAATTATTATTGTACCTTTAAGTCCCTATTGCACAGTTAATATATATAACAAATAAATTATGGAAATTATGAAATTATAACTGCAATGGAATAATTAAACTTTTATCAAATAAGCAGTTACCTGACACTGGCTTGTTATGATGGGATCTCCTTGTTTGCCACTGGAATATCCAATAAGATTACCTTCAGTGTAGTGGTAGTTGATAAGGTGGGTGTACTGCTAGGCAGATACCCATTAGGATGTGGGCATACTCTCCTTTATATTCCAATGGCTTGTTGGCTGATAGGTATGTATACTGTAAGCAGCCAGAAAAAAGGAGGGTGCGGTAAGACAAGGAAAGATGCCCCTTGAGCCTTAATTCCTTTCCTAACCAATATATGGCACTAAATCTACTCTCAACACATGTTATAGTGAATGGTGACATTTCATCTGAATTGCTGCATTTTTGAGATTTACTCCACCAGAACCATTTTAGGGTAAACTAATCATTTAGAAATGTAAGTTTTATTAACTGTACTATTATTTAGTACAGTGGTTCTCAAAGGGTGTGCTGTGATGCAAATCCAGGTGTACCATGGGACTTTGTGATAACCACACATTATTATTGCAATATTCAACTGTGTCTATACAAGTTATAAATGAATTTTTAATTGACTGTATCAATGTGTTGTGCACAGCCATTTCCTAATAAAGGGTTAGGGTTAGGGTTTTATTTAATTCAATTTAATTTAAAATAAAAACCTCACGGGGAACCTATCTGTCGTTGTTCACTTGTGGGAATTATAAGTGTGTGACACATTATACTATCTTACATTATTTCCTGTTTAAATTGATGTGTTATTGGTGCTTTGATGTAATTTCAAAAAGTTTAAAATTAAGTCTTGAATCATTTTTCAATAAATATTTCATGAGTGATAGTAGATTGTCAATTATTTGACATTAATAAGTAAAAACAAACATTTATGTCGTGATAAGAGTGATTCCTACATAAATTCAATTTAATTTAAAAGAAAAATACATGTTAAGTTAGACCCTTGGGGCAAGAAGCACCCCTTAGAAAGTGGGTGGAAAACCCTAGGGGCATCCTGCCTCAAATTATCATTTAGTTCTATGATCTATTATATAGTCATATGTGACTTTATATTGTTCATATCTACATAGCCTAATAGCAGTGGTATAGTACTGTAGTTTTAGCAGCTTGCTAATGTTATTAGCTAGCATTGTTAGCTATCTAGAATTAGCCAACATTTCTAGCTTGGTTACTGAAGGAAGATACCCTAAAATAAAAACAATGATCCTGGGGGAAAGGCTATAGGTTTATAGATAATTCATTAATGATTCAGGGTTTGGGTTTTAGTTTGTTTTATAAAGTTAGATAGCTCGTCAGGGGCTTCTTGCCCCTTTACAACATTTCCATTTTTGTGCTGTTACAATAAAAATTGGCTGTTGTACCAATGTATTTCTGTGTGTTGGTTCATGCGTCATCACCCTGCACATGCTAAAATAAATCATTAATATAAATATTTTTAAACTTTACAGTAAATTGACTTAAGGAATCACCCTCCCCCATGTTACCCTGTATAACTGCTGTATACCTGCTGTAACCCCCCCCCCCCCCCCCCCCCCCCCCCCCCCCCCCCCCCCCCCCCCCCCCCCCCCCCCCCCCCCCCCCCCCCCNCCCCCCCCCCCCCCCCCCCGGACAACACCACTGATTACCTTGCAGTCAACATCGCGTGACTTCGCAGATTAATCTCCCTCGCGGGCTGCAGCTTGCTGCTCTTCAAGAAATCGCGTGCTCACTGTTGTACACTCACGAGCACGCACGGCACACCGAGCCCGGGGCCGCGCGGCTCGCACCCAAAACCAGCAGGAGCGAGTCTCGCGCGCGTTCACGTGCATGGCTCGAGGACGCAGCAGCTAAAGCTAAACGGGCAGCAGGCTATCAGGCCCAGATTATTCACGGAGTCTACCGTCGTTCATTTTGTTCAGGCGGACCTCCGACCGGCAGGGATTAGAAACGTGCGAGATCATATGAGTGTGAAGGGGGGAAGATAGCTCAAGATGGTTCGGGAAACCAGACACCTCTGGGTGGGAAATTTACCCGAACATGTTCGAGAGGAGAAAATCGTGGAGCATTTTAAACGGTAGGTTACGCAAGAGGGATCCTCTGTTGGCGAAGCAGCGCGCGCTAGGTGCAGTATACGTTAGCTAGTAGCGACGGGCAGCCTGTGACCAATGCTAACACGGCTAATGTTAGCATTTTTAACTTTTACAAGTCTGGCGGTCTCTTACGTGCTGCCTCTGCTATGTTGCAGCACAGTGATATTTGTTGAAGCGAAATGTCAGGAATGAAACCACTTAAGTGTAAATGTTTACGATTTATAATATTTGGCTAACTTTTGCTAAAGCCAGGGGGCAAGTAGCTAGGTTTGCTAGCCACCGAGCTAACACCCAACCAACCATTTTGTGGGAAGTCAAGACGTTTTCACGATCAGTACAAGCCAAAAGGCAGCTAGCGTCAGCAGGTCAAATAACACGAGATGACTTTTGTTATTTAAGCCACTGAAAACGGGTGACTCATAATGTTATTTCTCTCTGGTCAACGGTGTTGTTAGAGAAGTATCGAAATGTAGAGAAGTCAAGATTTGCGAACGATCAGCGAGCTCTCCGGACTGATTATCAAATGTTAGCAAGTTGTTGAGGTGCTTGACGTCGGTAGCCATCGCTGCACTTAAACAATACTCAGTGTCTTGTAATTTTGCCAAGTTACAAGTAAATTGCTAACCAGCTTTTGCTATTAAGATAAACAAGTATGTACAACGAGATGGCAGCATAAACTTGTATGCTTTCCCATGTTCGTAGAAGACATGAAAACAATATAATCTTATTTGTCTATATATTTCCTACGTGTGTAAAGGAAACTGGAGCAACTCATCAACAAACTCCCCTGCAAAACATCAAACAGTACATCCAGTCATAGTTAATGGGAGCTATTGCAGCATTACTAATGGTCTGGTGACAGCTGTGTTTGATGATATGCTTTTTATAGTTGTTAAACACTGACATTTGACATGTTTTAGGTCTCAGAGGGACGTTTGATTAACGTTAGTACTGTGACTAAACCTCTCAACACTCCCCACAATACTTGTAAAACACTGAATGTAGTAATCCATCTTAACAATTCTAGACACTGTTTAAAACACCTTAAGTTCAAACAGTTAATTCCTGTTTTAATGGTCTTAAATGAAATGTAAGTGCTAACATGTTTTGGTTCATACAGGAGGTGTATGATTATTGCTTGCTTTTAGTATCACTGTCTTTTCTTCTCACTATGAACTAGGTTCTGGCATGCAGAGAAACAGTTGCACTTACCCTAATCTTAGCTGGTGTATGTGTAATTTCCTCTTTGTTTTCGTTGTAATTTCCTCTCAGGTATGGGCGCGTGGAAAGTGTTAAAGTTCTGCGGAAGCGAGGGTCAGAGGGTGGTGTTGCAGCCTTTGTGGATTTTGTGGATATCAAAAGTGCACAGAAGGCTCACAATGCTGTCAACAAGATGGGGGACAGGGACCTTCGGACTGACTACAATGAACCTGGGTCAGTCCCTAGTGCTGTTCGGAGCCTTGAAGACAGCTCACCCTCGAGCAGTCGAGACGTTACAGGATTC